TTAAGAAGCGTAATATAGCCTAATAGCCGGGTTCGGACCGAATAGGTCGTGGGTTCGAATTAGACTACTGTCGTGAACCACTCCTAACACAAGCATTTTCAGTTTACAAGGAGTTGTTGAAGGGAATATTACTAATGTACATTTATTTCCATATAATATATCAGTAACAATATGTCTATTTACATACTACATAAGAAATTTTTATCTTAAAACATGTAAAATAGCATACATTGCCAAACAAGGCTAAAACCTGTATTTCAGCATATGGCGTCACTCCCCACTCCCCACACTAAATTAAAATAAAATATTTACTGATGTTATGAAAAAATTACTAAGTTTTTTCTTCATATTATTTATAAGTATCAAAGTATCAAAAAATGTAAAATGTAAAATACCTCTTTTGAAAATGTTGCTAAGTATGAGTTGAAGAACACTGTATAAAAATGTTATTATTATGATCAAGAACATTACAGAAAATTATAAGACCTGAGGATGAGGTGATCGCTGCCATGCTGTTTCTAATTAAGTTTATTACACTTCAGAGTGTCTTTGTATAGTTAATAGTGTTATTTATTATTGCTGGTTCTTCGTCGGACAAAGTATTTTCCGAACCAGTGGTGAATTTTGGTCCAAGAGTAAATTAAACATAACAATGAGTTTAATTATGTATTATTGATAATCTATATTGATTTTTTAACCTGTTACATATAATCGCTTACTATACCTACACAACGAAATAGGACGTTGAATGCTGACACCTCCACCACATGGCCTATTATATTTTGAGAAGGTGTTTAATAAAAACCCTTATTTAAACTTTAAAACAGTAGATAGTAGATCGATTTACAAAGTAGCACTCCATTTCTAGGAGTCTGTCTGACTCAGACGGGCTTCTGGGCACTTTGGGCCCTCTCAGCTGCTCAATTTTGCCGTCAAATACCAATCCGTGCATCGTGTTCCAGTCTGAAGTGCATAGAGACCCGGTATAATTGCAGGCTAAGAGGCTTTCCATCTTAGTCCTCAGCGATGACAACGCATCTCTTGCGTTTTTGTTAGAGTTTGGTTGCACGTGTCCATGGGTCGCGATATGTACTTACTGTCAGGTGGACTGTTAAATTCATTAGTCGCTTAAGAATTACAAAATAAAGCCGAACCAAGGAGAATAGGACTCGCGCCCTAAGGGTTTCTGTAAGCTTTGTTATGTATGTTAATAGTTCATCCTTTCTGGGAATTATAGGTATAATAAGCACCGAACATTAAGTAAGTCTGATTGAAAGGAAGTGGAAAAATCTTTTCTACCATACATCACGGTCGATGCTCAAGCAGTAAATGTAACTTTGTAATCGCTTAATTAATAATATTTTTTATGTGATTTATCTACAAATTAACGATTTTTACATTTTATCGTTTACCAAATTTCATGATTCTAAGTAGACTGAAAATACCTTATAGTTTTGATGAGTGAGTTTGCGAGTATCAAAATATGTGACATAACCAGCCGTATCGCTTGTTCTTTTGATGAAGTTAAATTTTTTTCTGAGGGAAAGCGTTTTGACAGACGGACAGGCATACGGACAACACAGTGTTGCAAAAAAAAAAAAAATATTTTTCCTAACAAAATTTCCATCACCCCCCCTCTCAAAATTTAATTTTATTTTTTATTATAATGGATTTCCCAGTAACGCCTGATTCTATCTTATAAGATTATGATTTATTTTATTAACGCCAGTCGTTATTTCCTTTTCAGAAACATAACCGGTTATACATGAGTGACAAATGAAATTTAAATTTCTTACGTCGAAAAATAAAGACCTTTCACTCATTTCATTTTAGAAATTATGCTTTATAAATATCACCGTAGTGCTAACACTTATAATAAGTTTTTTTCTTTTTTATTAACATTATTATGTGTCTTATTATCGAATAAAATAAAATAAAAATTACCTGCCAGTTATGTCAATTGTACACGAATAAAGGTATAGAGATCTAATTGAGTAACATTTTACATTGCTACTCACTGTAGGCTTAAATTTATCTCACAGAATACCAAGGTAAAATTGTAGGTTATTGCTGTTGTGTTTCGTATGGGGAGTGTAGAAAAACGGATACCCTTTTTACTGGAAAAGAGGCATTACATCTTAGTCTTCACGGGTGACAACGCATTTGCATTTTGATTAGTAATCGAAGATAGATGTAGATGTCTATGGGCCACAGCAACCCCTTACCATCAGGTGGACTGTGTGCTCGTTTGTCACCCTATACTATAAAAAAGAATTCTAAGAAGGTTTTAGAATGGGAAAAAATTCATTGGGCTCTCGTAATGTAAATTAAAATATCTGCTAACAGATATTTTAACTTCACGTCATTTCTTCTTCAATCGGTCAAAACCCTGATCTGCTAAGATTTTACTACGTTAGTGTACACAAACATCATGTTACATTTTTTATTTTATTTTATTGTTAGACACCTTTACACGTGGTAGAGTCACGCTGCAGTTATAATATGTATGTAGCACGATTCGGTCAGTTAGACCCGATAAGGACTATGTTTTATCAGAAGAACAGTAGGAAATACATAACATAACATAATACATAAACACTCACGCCTGTCACCCAGAGGGGTAGGCAGAGACCACGGACTTCCATTTGGCACGATCCTGACATACTCTTTCGCCTCCTTTACATCCATATATCTACGCATACATGCTCGTCGGTTAAGGGTACTTCTAACGTGGCCCCTTTTTCAAAATATCGCCAATTTGGTCGATAAACTTTTTTCTAGGGCGTCCCTTCCCGACTCGGCCGTTCACATCTGCCATATAAATTTGCTTTGTCACTCTTTCCTCATTCATTCTTTCTACATGACCAAACCACCGAAGCATTCCTTTCTTAATCCTGGTCACAACATCATCTTGCATACCACATTTATCTCTTATCACGCAATTTCTCACCCTGTCATTCAGATTCAACCCTAACATGCTCCTTAAAGACCGCATTTCTACAGCATATTCTACTTTCGTACTTCTTCTGCCACACCCAGCTTTCACTACCATACATTAAAGTAGGGACTAACACAGCATTATGAATTACCATACGTGCCTTTTTTGACACATTCTGGTTCTTCATAATAGAGTGTAGTGCATTCCCACCCCATTCACTCTATTCCCTGCATTTACTCGTCGTTCTATATCCCTATCATATCTACCATCCCTGCTAAATACACATCCCAAATACACAAACTCATCCACTTGCTCAATTAACTCTCCTTTTATTCTTATTTCACATACCGTTTTGCTTTCTTCTCTTTCAAAAACCATCACTTTCGTCTTACTTGCGTTCACTTTCATTCCTCTTTCTTTTAATTCCCAGTTCATTAATGTAACCATCATTTGCAACTCAGCCGCCGATGACGCTATTTTGACTTGATCATCGGCATACAAAAGGCATTTGACGGTTAACTCGCCCATTCTTAACCCACATTCTTCATCTTTCAAAGTTTGCAAACACCTGTCCATAAATAGGTTGAACAGCCAAGGGGAAGCTACACAGCCCTGTCTGACACCTTTTTGGATGCCAAACCAGTCCGAGTAGACCCCATTGATCTTGACACAAGCACTAGAGTCCCTATAAAGAGACCTTAATGCCTGTATTAAACCAGCGCTCAACCCATATGAGTTCAGTGTTTGCCATAACACATTCCTGTCCACTCTGTCATAAGCCTTTTCCAAGTCCATGAACGCACAAAAAACCTTCTGGTTTTTGGCCAAAAACTTCTCTGCAATCATGCGCATGGAAAAGACTTGATCTGTACACCCCATTCCCTTTCTAAAACCCGCTTGCACATCCCAAATTTTTCCATCAGTTTCTTTCATAACTCTTTCAATTAACACCTTAGCATGCAGTTTACCCACAATACTAAGCAAGCTGATACCACGGTAGTTTTTGCAGTCTTGCTGTGACCCTTTTCCTTTATATATAGGACGAAATAGTAGCTTAATAAATAAATGCGTCCACCATTTAACTGTCGACTTACCACGCATTCGAACCAAATGGTTTGCTATATCGTTTGTCATGCGTACAGCAGAGAAGTGGAATAAGTTGCCAGCAGCTGTCTTTTAATACAATTACAATGGTGTTTCAAGGCAAGAGTGAATGGCTTTTGTTAAGTGCGCTTCACCATCTTCGGCTGCATCACCACTAACCATCAGGTCTGATAGTAAATGAGCGCTGGCTTGGAATAGCAAAAAAAAATGCTGCTGTGTTTTGTATGGTAAGCGTAGAGAACTAAATATCATATTTACTGAAATCGAGGTATTCCATCTTAATATCACAGGTAACAGCGCATCTGCATTTTGATTCTTAATCGAAAGCAGATGTAGTGTCCATGAGCCACAACATTCACTTACCATCAAGTGGATTATGAGATAAGAGCCGTGGTAGCTCAGTGGTTAACGCTCGCTGTAAATATAACAGAACGCGAGTAACCCGGGTTCGATCCCCGCCGGCACCAATGAAATTGTTAATTGCAATTTTAAGTGCTGATTTACCACGTGCTCGGCGGTGAAGGAAAACATCGTGAGGAAACCTGCATGTCTGAGGAATAAGAAAAACAACTATTTCGAAGACATGCGAAGTTCGTCAACACGCATTTCGGCAGCGAGGCGGACACTTTATTGCCCTAAACCCTCTCAGAAATGAGGGGAGGCCTGAGCCCAGCAGTGGGACTTATATAGGCTGTAACTTTACTTTACTTTTTTACTTAAGTGGATTATGTGCTCGTTTATATTAAAAAAAACCTGAAACTAAGGGTTACGCGCGCACATATTTAAGAGGCGTCTGGGATTCCAACCCGGGACCCAAAAACTAGTTAATCATGTACTTTGACCAATCACTTACTAAATGGTAAAATTTAAAGATACAACCTATATATGTCCCACTGCTGGGGGCAAGCCTCGTCTTATTTCTAAAAGAGGGGAAAAACATGAATTTTACAATACTTACGTTTCTGAGTCGACCGTTGGAAAGTCTGTATAGATGTTGAGCATTTGTCCACCAAGCACGTACCCCAGCGCTGGGCCGACAACCGCCATCGTGTAATATACACCTAAGAGATAAAAAATAAAGAATTGTAATTTTACAAGTACATAATCCTATATTACTCGAGTAACTGTAATGTATTCCGAGGTGAATACACTGGAAGAGTGTAGGTATGGAAGATGAAGAAAAAGTTTTGTAAAAGGTTTGAAATGCGTGGGAGGGAGCTTCTTTGTTGACAGTGTTACCCATGGGAGCGGCACAGGATGAGGTGTGCCCTCGTGGTCAAAGACCTGTCAACATATCATTTGTAGCTCTATGATTGCTATACCTTTATTACTGCCCGCTTTGTGTTTTTGCGGATTTAAAAAAGGTATATGTCGGATCCCCACACACGGACAGACTATGATCATGTATGATTGATAGTTAGATTTTATTTTACATTCTTTTGTAATTACTTCAAACTATTTTGTTATCAGCCATAAATATAACAAGAACCTGTTAAGGCTTAAAATTTCACAGTACGAGAGTAAACTAAGTTTGATTCCCGCCGTCACCGATGAAATCGTTATATATGTATATTCATGTGACAATGTATCTGCATGATGAAGACGTCTATGGGCCCCAACATGCACTTACCATCAGCAGGGCTGTGTGCGCATTTTGATAATTTATTATATGGAAAAAATGACCGCGGAATTAAACGTCACTCGAAATGTCGACGTCGAGAATTTCGATGTTGACGATGACTAATTTTCAAGTACCAAAGTCTTTGTAATGATGAATTATGTGGCAATGTATTCACATATCATCGGCTGTACCGCAACAAAGAGTCTATACAAGCGAATTCCGTTACTTGACATGAAATTAATTGAGCTGTGACCGCGGAAACGCATTTATGAATAATTTAGGTTAGCACAAGGCCGGGGGCCGGGGGGACCATAGCAATGGCCCCACGTGGAATATTTTAGGTTGCAGCTTTTTTATTTCAGGGTGCAGTTTTTTTAAATGATGCCAGTAAAATATCTAATACTAAAATTTTGCTGTTACTGTATATTTCTAATTAAAATACAACGAATATAGTGTCATTGAAAGTTCTTAAAATAGAAGTAATCTTCATGACACACGCAACATGCATACACATTTTTTTTTATAGAATAAGGGTGACGAACGAGCACACAGTCCATCTTACGGTAAGTGAATGCTTATAGACATCTACATTTATTCTGAATCGAAATGCCTCGCCAAAATGTATCACCCTTGAGGCCTAAGATGGAATGCCTCGCTTCCAAAAAAGGGTCTCCGTTCCTTTTCACCTCCCATACGGAACAAAGCAGCATTAAGCTGCTATTAACACAGGTATTCTGTGAATCTACCCCCTCTCACCCCGGCCGAGCCGACCTATTCATGCTACAAATATAATATAGCTGAAGCATGGCTCCACCACGTATAACCACGTATACACATGCTGAGACTAGGGACAAGGACAGTAATACAATATTGGAACTGTTTTATTCATTTTTAATTGTTATATGAAACTATGACACTTCGAAAATGAATAGGGAGGGGGGTTGTTAAGAGCCTCATAATTAGTTACTAACATAACTATAACGTCAATGAAACATTATGTTATTATACAAGACCTATTTTCGGGAGTGCGCTTGTGGAAGAACGGCACCTGTCAGAAGTAGGCGATATTTTTTTAAAGAATATTAACAATGCTACCAACATTACTAATATTCCACTTAACCACTCATGGTAAGCTTAAATTGCTTGTGTTACGAGTGGTTCACGCCAGTAGTCGAACCCACGACCTTTTTAAGTTCACGGTCCGCGCCCTGCCATTAGACTACTGTCGCTACAACATATATCAATAATTACACTGTAGCCAAGTATATAAAACTTATTGTCGTACCTAAGCCGGCAATAATAGAATAGAATAAAATATATTATGTAAATCTTTAAAAAGTAAATTAATACCTTTTTCGGAAAAAAACTTTCCTGGGAACTACCAGCAAGAAACCCACCGAGACTTTTTTTTTAAATAAATCATTTACAATATAATATTTCATACAATGAGTATGAAAACATTAGAAGCACCATGGTAGTGTTCACCTCATTCCCAGGGATTATTATAAATCATATACTCTTAAGTAGTGTTAACCCGTATTAAACAATTTTTGCTTATTAAAATTTTTAAATATTTTGATATATAAGGTCTGCATATTTTATGGAACTGTTGTAAAAACGTATACATTGCCTCTTGAAGGAATTACTGACTCTTTGGAGTAGAGTAATTGGTATAACTAACTTGTGCTTGTTCCCAGTATACATCACTTTTTTAATAAAATAGTTTTTGTTTTTGGGTACACACATTAAATTTTCATAAATATACTGAGAGAGTAAAGTTGATATATTTATTTCTTAAAATTTTTCTCTAAGGGTTTCCTTCGGACTTAAGTTATACAGCTATACTATGGTTGACCGGAGTAGGACCACGCTCTCACAGAATACCAGCGTAAAATAACATCTTAATACTGCTGTGTTCCGTATAGTGAGTGTAGACAACCGGAGAGCCTTTTTACTGGAAACGAGGCATTCCATTTTAGTCCCCAGAGGTGACAACGCATGTGCGTTTTGATTTTTAATCGAGGATAGATGTATATGTCTATGGGCCACAGCATCCACTTACCATCAGGTGGGCTGTGTGCTCGTTTGTTACCACGATAATATAGCGTGACCCATTTGTGCTACCACCATAATATAGCTGCATCGTGGCTATAAACTCTCCACAGTGGATGTATTGAAAAGAATATATACTGGTGTTCAAATATTCGGGTCAACCTTCCGAACACGAATGGATTTAGGTTCTGCGGTTTATTTTATTGTATTTGAGTAAATTAAAATATTCAAATTAGCTCTATAGTCATTATTTAGTAGTTATTATTTTATCATCGGTCGCTAGGCATGGCCACACATGCGTAGATGCTACTCTACTAGAAGGCTTATTATGCTTCCCCCGCCCACCAACGGTTTTAGTTGAAGATGAAGCATCAGGTGTGCTTAAAACTCCAGACTCGCACAAATTTCAACGCTGTGTATAAAACGGCTTAAGAATTTCGTCTCTTTTCCTTTGAAGTACCATTTTCGAAATACTAGGTCGTGACCTCGCACCGCGTCATGAAAGAAAAACGGAGTGGCGCTCGAAATAACCCTCGAATATATGGTTGGTACGGCTTTGTTTTCAATCATTAAGTTGTAAAATAAGACAACGAAAATTCAAAAGCATAAAAGTAAACGTTTAAAAGATACGCGTTTAAAAGATTAATTTTTGAAAATTAATTATGAATATTTTTTTTTATAAAGAACAAAGATGATACACGAGCACACAGTTCACCTGACGGTTAGTGCAAGCAGTGGCTCATAGACATCTACGTCTTTTAAAATACAGATGCGTTGTCACCTCTGGATGGAACTATCGCTTGTCACCTCTGGATGGAACTATCGCTTGTCACCTCTGGATGGAACTATCGCTTGTCACCTCTGGATGGAACTATCGCTTGTCACCTCTGGATGGAACTATCGCTCGTCACCTCTGGATGGAACTATCGCTTGTCACCTCTGGATGGAACTATCGCTTGTCACCTCTTGATGGAACTATCGCTTGTCACCTCTGGATGGAACTATCGCTTGTCACCTCTGGATAGAACTATCGCTTGTCACCTCTTGATGGAACTATCGCTTGTCACCTCTGGATGGAACTATCGCTTGTCACCTCTAGATGGAACTATCGCTTGTCACCTCTGGATGGAACTATCGCTTGTCAACTCTGGATGGAACTATCCCTTGTCACCTCTGGATGGAACTATCGCTTGTCACCTCTGGATGGAACTATCGTTTGTCAACTCTGGATGGAACTATCGTTTGTCAACTCTGGATGGAACTATCCCTTGTCACCTCTGGATGGAACTATCGCTTGTCACCTCTGGATGGAACTATCGCTTGTCACCTCTGGATGGAACTATCGCTTGTCAACTCTGGATGGAAATATCCCTTGTCACCTCTGTATGGAACTATCGCTTGTCACCTCTGGATGGAACTATCGCTTGTCACCTCTGGATGGAACTATCGCTTGTCACCTCTGGATGGAACTATCGCTTGTCACCTCTGGATGGAACTATCGCTTGTCAACTCTGGATGGAACTATCGCTTGTCACCTCTGGATGGAACTATCGCTTGTCACCTCTGGATGGAACTATCGCTTGTTAACTCTGGATGGAACTATCGCTTGTCAACTCTGGATGGAACTATCGCTTGTCACCTCTGGATGGAACTGGACTAAGATGGAATGCATCGCTTGCAATAAAAAGGGTCTCCGGTTCTTTACACTCACTATACGAAACACAGGAGCTTCAGCTGCTACTTTACGTTTGTAACCTGTGAAAGCGAAATACTTCCCGGTCGGACTAACGAATTCGTGCTTCAACCATAATAATGACTAAATTTTATTATTGTTTTGAAATCATCAATTTAGCAGATTTTTTGTTTACCGATATTACATACACAGATACAGTAAATTTGGACAGTAGTCTCATACACTCATATAAATAAAATATAGAAGCCGATTAATATTTCCTTTAAAATCGACTAATATTTTTATGTCAGTATGCCTTGAGGACATCGTGACAAATAGCTGTCCTTTTACGAAAGTATATTCAACAAAGCTATCTATAGCTTTGCTTTTAGTGTGACCCGCATCTCTCGATACCTTGAGAGGCGTACACTGAGCCCTGAATGCTCGGCCCACCCTTTACCCTCCCTTGAATACTCTCGGGCTCAATGGACGGAAGTGGCTGTGGGAAAGGCGGCTAATGGCATTTCGATTTGCTACTTACACCTCTGTGCTTATGTCGATGTTATTGTAAATTCTTGGCTGTAAAATTATGTCTAAAAATAGTAGATGCTTTTATGTATAGATTGATAACATTTTATATAAGGAACGTGAGGATAATATGGTCCACTTAAGTTTGGCCGTCCTATAAACCCAAAACTAGGAGAAGGATATATAGA